CCTAGTAGAGTGAATGTGGTAGTATTTACTATGTCGTCACGGTTTATTCGCTGTTACTTACTAACTATATGCAAATTACAACAACATTCCTTAGTCACGGTTATGGACTTGATTGCATCATGGAAGGTGCACAATCTCGCGTGGACAATAACCTTTGTCTTTTCCCGACAGACGCAACGGTTATTAAATCAATGTCAGCGTTATTTTCCGTATTGATTTTTAAATCTGCATATTTTAACGAAAAAAAATATTTGTTTCACCGTTGGGGACAGTCAACACTCCAGCTCAACAAATCAGCTGTGTAATATTCTGCCATAGAGGGCAGTACTTGTTAGCAAATTTAACAACGCAAAAACAGGCGGTCCCAAATCGCTCTCATATATTGTGAATTATCAACTTAAATAAGTTGGTATGTTTAATAATTAACAACTTGAATACTAGTACCCTACTAATCTTATTTTTGGGCCCTGTCGCGACGCAGTGCCACAACGACGGGAGGGGAAACAGTTCATATTGTTGATATGAACCGAAGTCGTCCATCATCACAAACTAATAGTGTTTTGAAAGATTTACTAACACATTAAGACAAATGGCGATTGATTACACTGGAGCGTACTAGTCAAATTGAACAACATTGCTTTCACCAATATACCCCATTATTTCATTACACAACCACTTCGTCGCTAGGGAAACATAAACTATATGCTTATTTTTTTCTAATTACCCGGATGTGTTTACAAAAAAAAAAGATTATTTTCACACAATCCTTTGCAAAATCCAATATGGGGTTAAAACATTTCTTCCCTACACACGATTGAAGAACAACCTGTTAATTCTTCTTCTATTCTATTCTTTGAAGGCTCTGTACGCATACAGTCGGCGGGAGGTTCCAGGACAAAATGGCGACGAGGACATTTACATAGGAGACCAGGCCTGGTTCGACAGTCCTCGAGGTTTTGATTACAAGAAAGCGAAGAAAATGGGAGTACAAGTCGTGAAAGTTAAGAAAAGACAATCACTTGCTGATGACGATGGCAACGAAGAAATTGTTGTTGGCGACGACGATGATTAGCCGTTATGAGTGTGACCATATGACATTTATTTTTAACTTAAATCTAGTAAACAACTAAATCATGATTTATATGTTCAATATACTGTGACGTCATTTAATCATTTATTGGATTATTCGTCCAATGTCGGCATTACTATAAAAATACTTATCGTTCAATATTACATACTATTATTAAAATAGCGCAATGGAATATTCCGATCAAATACACCATTGCTCGAGGCGACTCTCAATGTATTTGAACACTTGTAATACGTCATTACGATATTTGAGCGTGACGCATACTACATCGCCTTGTTTATTATATTCCTGTTGAATTGTGTTTCTTTTTATGGTATCTGCAGAAAAACAAATTATCAAGATTTCTCAATTTTGTTCAGTTACTTACCTGCCACAGTGTACTGCCTTAATAAAGTCCCCTCGAGTTAAAGTATGAAATGTAACTCGTTGTTATTATATGAAATATGTACTTACAGTTCATCAATGCGTCACGTCAAGTTCAACCATGAGCTATTCATCATTTTCCAGAACGATGTTTAGAAGTAATATTTTATATTATAATTACATTGACTGCTTGGCAATCGTCAGTATGTATAAAACGTCATTCACATGTACATTGCGTCCTCTTTCGACGAAACCATACTATGATGTACCTCAGGCTGCTGAGATTAGAATTCTCTCAACGTCGACAATGTCTCATACTTCAGCCAAAAAACAATGTTCCTTGAGTTCATGTATTCCAAAGGACTGGTCAGTATTCCAGGGAATGAACGATAACAAAACAGCGTTGTCGCAGTGAATCACATGGCTTTCACTCAACTCCATTATATCTATGAAACATACCGCCGCTTGAGGGCGCTACTCATAGAGAACAACTGTCCTGCTGGTCTCATGCCACTAATTAACCAATGGCTGCTCGTAGCTCTCAATTTAAATGCCCAGCAAGAACCAATGAAATTTTTTAAATATTATTTTTCTCAGGTGCTCCCTGTTTGAGGGCGTAATCACCTGGGTCAGAGGTGAGACCAACATGTGGTCTTTTGTTTACTACTTAGCGGCTGTGTACCTGTGGGTTTATTCTGTGTGTTAATGGATGTTCTAATCTTGGTGTTTTTCCAGTGATTTCTCTTGGTGCAATCCAAATACAGTAGGTGTGTCTTGTTTACCTGAGATTTGCAAGAGTTTGAGCTGGCCAACATGTTAGTTTTTTTCATATGGTTGATTACTGGCATGTTGATTTCCCATTTTTGAGCCATATTTTCAACTTTCTTCGTCATTTTCATATAGCAATCTCGTAATATGTTAACATTGTCGTCTATGGAAATTCAATTAGTGGTATGAGCCCTGCTGACACACCTCTTTAGACTGGCGCAGTCGGGGCGATTAATATGAAAAGCCTTACGGGACCCTGCTGCGTCAATA